TGAGCTCATGTGGTATCCAAATATTGAGCTTCGTAACGTATCCCAGTTGTTTTAAATGGTTTTCAATGCTTGATTTTGATATGTTAAGATTATCAGCAATCTCTCATGTTGTTAAACGCTGACTGGAGTTGACCAATGCCTTTAATTTGTTGTTAAAAACTTTGATCTGCCTTCCTGAGCATGATGCATCTTTAACACCAAAATCTCCGTACTGAAACTTAGCAAACCAATTCTGACAGTGCTGTAGTTGTAAGGCATCTTCACCATACATGTCACATAGCTTTTTCTGAGCTTGCACAGCAGTTTTTCCTTTTCTAACTAATACAGCAAAATATGATTAAAATGTTCCTTTTGATGTTCCATTTTGAAATCGACACCAAATAAATCAATAATTGTTAACGAAATCGTGCACTTCTTTTTCTAAAGCAAGCTCGAACTGTCAGCTGTCAAGTTACACAATGATTTTGCAGTTTAAAATGAAGTTTGAAATTTAAAGTCATGTATGACCATGTATTAAAAAAAAAAAACACAATTACTTTTTGGCCCACCCAACAGAATTAACCTGAGTGATACATCTTGCTAGCTAACCTCATATGGAAGTTTATTTTTACTGTGTTGTCCTCATGATGTTAAACTTCTATACAGCTTGTAGGTGGGAAAACAACGGCATCTGTATTAAATGCCCCTGTTTTAGCTTTTAATAACAGATGGTCTGTTTTTAACAGATTTGTTTGTATAAATTCCATGTGGTACTGCCATTTCGGTCAAAAGGTCAAGTGCACCGTCCAAATAACATAACATGAGCATGTCTCAGAATTAAAGATACCATCAACCCAGAGTGTAGCAGATATTGTTAAGCCTCTTTTTTGAAAGAATCATTCTACTCTTTAAAGTATGATAAATGTGTGTATACATGCATCAATACAAGCATGTATGCTAATAATCTATTAATATCGCTTCATTGCATGAGAAGGAAACAGCTGCAGATTCAAGGACTGTAATTCTACACAACCTTCAGCATGTCACTCATAAGTAAAGTTATTTAAGCACTGGAGCTGCAATGCTTTTGGTAAGTTCAATGGGAGTTCATGTCAAACACCTTAGGAAAGAATAAAAAATGTGCAATGGCTTGTACTGTTACAAGCAATTTCTGAAACTGAATTAAAACCAATACTGTTGGTAGATAGGAGGGTCTAGAATTCGTAAGTGAGGAAGTAACTCACGTTCTCTTGAAATACAAAACAGCTTAGTAATGCAGTTGCCTGTTCTGCAGACAAGTCATTGAAGAGACCATTGAACATCATTTCTGTCAGGAGTAGTTCATCAGCACTAAAATAAAGACAAGGACGCACAGAAAAAAATTTACTGAAATGTAATTTTTAAATGAAGTATTATTAATCTGTTTTGTGAAGCAATTGACTATAGATAAGAAACAATAGCCTCTTAATTTTTCTTACAGGAACACCAAATACTAATTCATTAGTTTTTTAAAAGGGTTAAGAGAGTGAGATAGTATTTTAAAGAAACTAAAAGCTCTTACTGGACTACAAAGAATCTCTCCTGATAATTTGTAAGTTAGTATTAGCAGTTGCTTTAGTCTGTTTTTACCAGACAGGACATCAAAACATTGATAAGAACCAGAGAGTTAGGAAACCTATGAAAAGGACTAAAATTGGTACTGCTGCTGCTCAAAGAAGATTAAACTGCATATTTCCAAGATACTGAAAATAGGAACAAATGTGCTTCAATTTACTCGCAGAATAAACACTTAATCATGAATTATAAAAGGAAGTACATGATGTGGATGCAAAACCCATACATACTATTTGGATAAAACATAAAATTGTTGATAGGAACTACACCTTTATTTCTCGAGTTTATCAGCAGAGGAAGGGAGGAAGAGAAAGAAGGTTTTTTAAGAAAGTAAAGTGTAACTCATTAGCAAACAGTTCCTGAAAGTCAGGATGTTGACAAAAATTCTGATTAATTTTCCTCCTTTGCTATCAAATTTTGCAGGGGAAAAGCACCATTAGGTATCAAACAAATACAGGTAGCATCTTTCAGGCAATCTGTAAGGAAGGGAGTACAGCAGTTGCTGTAACTTCTAAAATACACAATTCGACCAAAATCTGAGTTACACTCTGAAGTGTTAAAGCCTGATTCGTAAGTTTCCATTGAATCTTTACTATATGTTTCAATATATATGTACCTGCTAAATGTGTTACAGTAAAATGCACCACTTACATAAATTTGCTCTAACAGCCCCACGGAAGCAATTAAGCTGTATTCCAAACTTGTCAGCAACATGGTAATTGCTGACAATAATTGTTACGCCCTTGTTTGTGAGTGACTCCTTAGTACAGAGTCCTAGGCAGTGGAACCATAGAAAGCTGAGACCATCCGCTCACATAATGTACAATATTAAAAGACAATACACACTATTGCCCAAGCTGTGTAAGAAAATAGTTACTGTTTCGGAATTTTCATGTCCACATTTTGGTTTTAAAATCTATTGTAATTTGTCCTGACACAGATCACAGTCTCTGAAGAACCTTTCTTCTACCTTTAAAATATAAACATGACATACTCATTTCAGCAAGGACAGTAAAGTGTGTATTCATGACAATAATCACTTTGCACAGAAACCAATTACCTGCTGATTTCACAAGCAACCCGTCCTTTCATCTCAATAACATCTGAAGATGTGGCAAACCCCAGTCTTCTCAAAACACGCTTGCGGCATTTGAGTTCATCCATTTGTAAAACAGTTCTGGCTTTTTTCAGTTCTCGCTTTGCCACTTTAATATCCACAGCAATCTGAGGGGTCACAAGGAGAGAAATTACATGTTGCTGGTTTAACAGATGCAACTGCTTTCAAGACATTGTTTAATATACATAAAAGCCTCAGAATGACAGTATATAGACATACTAGTCAATGCTGACTCATCTAACTCTACTAAGAGGAAGGTTTAAAACAATTTTCTAAAACAGCATCAGCTCCATTTACCCACAGGAAACTCTGGCAAGTTTGGGAAGTTAAGCTATTTACTCAGAGCGGGGAAAAAATCAAACCACCCCACATAAAAAAAAACACAGAAGAAATCTTCAGTTGAGAAATGAGCACTCATCTTCTGAGACACGTACTGAGTCTCAGCAAACCAACTCTTCAATCAATGTAACCCAAAGACATTATTTCCTGCTATGAGCACTTGTCTTGTACTTTATCACAGTTGCTGCCAACACCTTGACAGCGGGGCGTGCAGTGCAGACACTCTCGCAGAAATCTGCTCGCTCCATCAGGTCTTACCACATGCAACTTGTGCTTTCCATACCAGAACTACCTCACTTCTGTGAGGCGACTCCTGGAGAACCTGTTTTCTGGAGCAGCACAGAAACATGAGAGCTGTTTTTGTGCACAACCAGTTTCTGTCCAGCAGGGTACAACTCTTACACAAAGTAATTACTTGTATTGCTTTCAGACTGGTAGTCAGCTCAGAAAGCAGCAGCACAGTGATTTGATTCCCCAGTTTAATAAACCCCATCAATTCAACTCAGCTTTGCACGAGCATATGAAAAATTATCAGTTTCAATTATCTGTGAAGACTTTACCTACACTGTATTTTGCTATGCCTAGTCAGTGAAAATTACTCTAGTAGCACCTCTGTAGCCTTCTAATCCCTGTCGACCTTTTCTGAGGACTTTTCTTTTCAGATGCACTTCCCAACTGTATCAACCAAGGGCATAACACAGTCTGTTAGTGAGATTTAATAATTTTCCTGTATTTTAAAGGGATTATTTGCGTTTATTAATTTTAAAAAATATTATTGGGGCTTCGCAAAGAAAAAGAAAAGCAAGAAAGAAGGGAATTATTACTTTCTCTCTCTTCAGCTAAACATAAATAGTGTTTTGCTTTGTATTTTTACCTGTGCTTTTTTTTCACAAAGTTTGTATACGGTTTCCAAATTGGAATCATGGTGAAGAGGATGTGAATACATTCTATGCTCAAATGCCTCTACTTTTTGGATCACTTTTTTCAGCCCTTGATCTTTGATGCCCATGTCATCAATAGGGTCTAGTAATGGTACTCCATCAGGAAATCGCTTCTGTACTTCCTAAAAGGGAAAAAAAATAAAACCTGTAGGATTAGTAACTATAAAATAAGCTATACTTTTACAAATCTGCTGGCAGGAGGGACACAGAAGGCAGTAAAGTAAGTTTGTTATGTGATGTTTCAGCAGTTGTAAAAATCAGTTTATAATTACTGTTGAAAAGGAAAAATAATTGACATACATAACAGCTTCCGACCTCTTTTAAGAGTAAGGCTGAAGATGTGACACAAGCTTTAGACAAACTTCTTTAAAACAAGTTGTCTTGGGTTCAAGAGTGCCTTACTGAACAGAGCAGAGAGCTCACTCAACCTAGTGGAACTTACTTGTATAGATTTTAACACACTTTGCCTGTTGTCAACAGGCCTCAGGTCTTTTGGTATGTAAAGTCGTACACTGCTGATAGCTGACAGAAGATGTACCAAAACAGGAACAACCTACCAAAGAGAGAGCAGTAACTGATAAATCAAAAAATAAATTTATTCTTTCCATAGCAAAACTTTACAAAGGAAAATGAAAAGTGAGTACACAGACACAGCAGTGGGTGAAGGAATACTAGGAAGCAGGAAAATGTGGGTAATGAGATAAAGTGTTACTAAAGAAGAAAAGTAAGTTTGTCCAAATGGGAAAATTCTGTATTTGGTTGAATCTGGAGAGAGGCTACAAGCAGAAAAAAAGTATTTCAGTTTTTCTATTACCTTGCCTCTTATTTACTGATATCTATTTAGCTTATGATCCAAACCAGACAGATTATTGTTATATACTTAAAACTAGGAATGCTGACAAGAGACATCAAATCAGCAAATACATATTCATAACCATCAAAACCATGACACCATGAAGAATCAATATTGTATTTCAAGCTTTAAATGGACTTTGTGAAAAAAAACAAACAAGCAAACAAAACCAAAACCAAAAACATGTAGATAAACTAAACAACTGTCTCTGATCTGAAAACTGTAACTGTTTGTCATGATATAGGGTTTCAAATTTAAAATTTTAAATAATGCAAATGATTTCACTAAACATTTTCCTCTTCAGTGAAATAGGCAACTGTTTAAGAAAGCAGAGTCAGGTGTACAGCTCCTTTCTCTTCCTTAATGCATCAATCCCTTTTTTACCACAGTTTGCAAATGCTTTGGAAATAGAATCTTTGAGAACACAAATTGACAAACTATTGAAAATAAACATATGTAACAAACCTGCATCTCTCCTTTCTCATCAGGTCTGGCTGGCTTTGCAGCCTCAGTAGCAGAATTTTTCAAACTCTCTTTGCTGCAGTGTAGTAGCACTTCAACTACATATAATGGGTCCAATTCACCAGAATTTGGCTGTTAAAAGCACATAAAAAACAAGTCCATAACAGTTATTTTAAAATACCAGTGAAAATGGAAGCAAAAAGCATTCTTTTATTCAATACTGAAGATGTGAAATGAGCTACTGCTCTTCACAGAGTATGAGCTCAGTGATGCAGTATATTCTGAAAACTACTGAATCAGTATTGATTGAATTCCCTCAGCCGCTCCTCATGAGAACAAGCCTTATGAGGAGTGGCTGAGGGAACTGGAGTTGTTTAGCCTGGAGAAGAGAAGGCTGAGGGGAGACCTCATCACCACCTGCAACCACCTAAAGGGAGGTTGTAGAGAGGTGGGTGCTGGTCTTTTCTCCCAGGTGATGGGGGATAGAACAAGGGGTAACGGCACCAAGCTGTGCCAAGGGAGGTCCAGGTTAGAGATAAGGAGGAAGTTCTTTACTGAGAGGGTTGTCAGAGGCTGGAACAGGCTGCCCAGGGAGGTGGTGGAGTCACCATCCCTGGATGTATTTAAAGAGCAGGTAGACGAGGTACTTAGGGATATGGTTTAGGGGGTAGACAGGAGCGGTTGGACATGATGATCTCAGAGGTCTTTTCCAACCGAGTGATTCTGTGATTCTGTGAAAGAACCCTCACACAGAAAAACACATTTGGAAAAATTACCCCTTCCCCATCCTCCCGAGCAAGTGTAGCCTAAAGTCTAACTGCAGCTTTAGGTGTTTCTTCTGGATGCAGCTCTTTCAGAGTAAGACAATACCTTTCGTAACTGTAATGCAAAATACTTTATCATGCTAGCCATACTGAACTTTGTCTTTTTTTTTAAAGAAGCAAAATTTGCAGGATCTCTTTCATTTGCATGTTTACAAGTTAAAAGCTTTTCCCCATAACAAAGATCAGAGAAAAAAATATTTCACAGAATCACAGAATGTTAGGAGTT